AGCAGCACTGAATTCATGCAAGATCTCACGGCAACACCGAAAGACTGCCTGAAAATACTCTTCCTAAATCAGCAATTGAAGACATCCACTCATTTCTGGTAAACTATGTAGAAAATGCTATCACCCTAACTGGAAAAATTCCAGGCCTTAAAAGCGACGATGTTAAAGTTCTTCCTTCTTGTGTGACAAGAATGAGTGTTTGGAGAGCATATGACACTGTTCGCCATCTTGGGTAATCAAATTTAGCTCAGTAATGGCTGAAAGAACCAGTAATGATCTATATCTGTGTGACATCTTAAACTAAATATTTTTGTTTTGCAAAGTTTTAGTTTAATCGATAGTAAAGAATGCAAATTAAATAGGTAGCAAATTTGAAGGTGTGTGTAGCAAACATGTAGCAAACTTGAACATAGCAAACTCGACAGGTAGAGAAACCAGCTGTTACCATTTCATGAGACATGATGGGAAAAATGTTAATCCAACTGTTGATTTCCGTTGTTTGTCCATTATTTTCTTGTCCATTTTTGTAGTGTGGTCTACACAGAAAATACCTGACTGTATGTTAAGTGCTGCTAGAGTTTGAGGAATGTATCTGTAACCTAAATTTACTTGAGAGACACTGCAGGACACTCAATAATCATTGCTTTAATTTCCCCCGTAAAAGGGAATTTTGGGGTTCTTCAAGCCCACCACACTGTACAGAGAGTCGTTACGCTGTGAATTTGCCATAGGTGCAAGTTTGTTGATATCAAAGTCTGTGCTGTATTCATCAAAGAGAGACTTAAGGGCTGATTGAAGGAGGTCTTTACCATAGGGTAGATCTCTGTGACAACAATGTGAAGGGTCTTTCTTGTACTGACACCATGTTTCTCTACAACCAGAATTGTCACCAAATGCATGAGGCACAATGCTTTGAATTGCAAATTTCATATTTGTAGCATCCCCTTTGTTTTTTGCAATACAGTATGCAAAGGACTTGACAAGGTAATTTATGACTTTCTGTGACAACACCAAACTGTTGGGGAACTTCATAGGCTCAAGTTGTATAAGCGTGTTGTAAGGGATCTTTTTCTGTGAACTGTCACTCCATTTTCCACACCGTAGGGTACCTTTTGCTTTAGGTGAACGTTTCCCTGATTATAAAACTCAACGTCCTGCCTTGCCTTAACATATTAGTTTGACCATGTGAGATGTCATGTGATCATTTTGTTAAAATTTGGTAAATCAGCAAATTGGTGGCAAATTCTCATTCTATTGATCAATAAATGAGCGTTTGCGATGCAGATTTAAATTATCAACCTTGCTACATTTCGAATGATCTCCCTTGATTTTGTTTATAGAAGATAAATGATCAAAAGTCAAATTTTGTTGAAAAGAGGACCTTTCACTCTATAAAATTTTTCTGTGAAAAGAGGGACGGTCATTCCAGAGAGGATGGAAATAATTGACCTGCATCGAAAACGCATTTTTGCAGGATGTTATTACTAAAAACCACCACCAATTCCTCAAATAATGGCTATTTTCCGCTTCACGTGACCTGTCAGAAGTACCAATTCTGCTTTAAAATGTTCAGGATGTCAAAACCTAACTGCTAAATCTTGTTCCTTTGCCATTTATACCTTCAGAAATATAACTAATAAATTATTTTCACCAGTAAAAGCCTTTGACCTAGGCCTTAAACTTCTTGAGTAGAGGCATATCCTCTAGGATCACTGCAATGTGGGCACTTCTTACCTAGACCGTCAGCCGCATTAAACGAAGTATTAACACATTCCTCACAACCAAGCAAGTTATTGCAACATTTTGTTGCAATTACTGGGGGTGTCATAGGTATTGCATTACATATTTTGCATATGAATACATAAAAGTTTGACAACTCCAAGTGGCAAGGACAAAGCGTGGTTTACTTTCAGTATGTCACAAGCCATTGATTTGACTTCATTGATTTGAGAATTCAAGGCTTTGTGCAAAAAGGGCGTATATTGCTTTTTGGGCCAATTTTTATTTTTTGCAGGATCAAGCTAATTTTTGGCAGACAGACTTGTTTTGACATGAAAAGCATCATTGTGTAATTGTTTTTGTTGATTTGTGCTTTGTTTTCCAGAAATAACGTATGCAAAAAAACTCAATTTACTATCTGAATATCTCCATGATTAACACCCGAATCTCTTAGGATTAAAGTCCTCATCACTATCATCACAAATGTCATAATGTGAAGTGGGAGTTGCCTTTGTCTTTGACTTGGCTGATCTCTTTAAAGGAGCCTGGGTGCTGCTAATGACCCTGACAACAAAAATCCTTTTGCTTCCACATTTGCAAAAAGCCAAACCTGCAAAAAGACACCAAGTTAAGCAAGCAGCTGTAATCAGACTAAATACATAAAGGAAGACATCTTCTAACTTCAGAGAAGTTCAGGTCTCACGAGTAATCATCATTTTATTACTACAGAGCTGTTTTGTATCGTACAAGGACCACACTCATCAGGCAATTTTAACGACTGAACCGTTGAAATTGGAAAGCTGGCAGTTAAATACGAAAATTCGAATGGTTACTACAGTAGATGCGTTACATTCAGGCTATTTGAAACTATTCATAGAGTTGCTAGGTAACAAAAACATGATATAAAAGGGATTATGTGTTGTTATTTTAAGTTACGTCACTCTGAAGTTCCAAAGTACATATCGGTTTCTGTGGGGGCATGAACTTGCTAATTCCTTTCTTCTGTTGAGGCTACACAATTCTTTTTTACAAAGGATTATGAACTTTTCATTCAGACAAAGGCTACATTTTTTGCTAATGTTGCTGTAGGGTTTACATTTCTTGAGAATTTTCCATTTAATCAGAAATGGTTTCTTTGCATCTTGTAACTTCCAAACATATTTGGAAGACATCTATACTTATTTCAGTCTATGCCTATTACTTGCCAGAGATTCTCATTCTATCATTAAAATAAAATATTTCTGTTCTGTATACAAGGTAAACAGGTGGTCACCCCTTGCTCACCTCTAATGTCCAGTACACTTTTTACTTCACATTTAATGATAACGTTTGTATAGAGATTCAATTCTTCATGTACTATATAAATCTTTAGCAGTTGAGAAAACAATGCAAAAAATAACAGTGAACTTTAGTGCCTTCGTTGTCCATTATCTTCAGACCGTTGCTAGTCACCAACTCCAGAGAGGGGGATCACTGAAGGCATCCTGCATAGCTGTATCTTCACTCATGTTAATGTATGTCTGGCCAAGCTCTTGGAAAGATGGGGGTCCCTTCTCATTCTTCTGGGTCATTTCTGCTCGTATAATTTTCACAATGGCACCGTTTATTTCCACCAAATAGTGCTGGCCTTGAAGAGCTCCGAGGAGTGCCCCCATATGTGAATACTTGGCTAAGTTGTCCAGAGTGCTGCTCTGCAATTTTTGGGGCATTTAAAGAGGTCTGTACATCCTCTCCCACAACTTTAAGGGGATGTCCATCATCCAGGTTCAGCACATTAAATCATCCAGACCCGTTTGGCCAAAATGACATGTCATCAAACTCTTCTTTAAAATGAAGTGAATTTGCTTCAACCTGTAAAAGAGTTCTTTGTTTACTGCTTGCAGTCCTAAACTTAATACCATTTATTTGTTGGCCATTTCATTGTATATTCCGCTTTATTTCATGCAAACTTTTGCAGAGTTCATATACTAATATTTAATATCAGAGTGTACATCACAGACACGGGTTATCTACTCTTGCAATCAGAATGCTCCCAAAATATAAAATCATCTCGAATTAAAATACCTTCAAGCAGGTATGATAAGAAATAGTGTATTCCCATTTAGTGGTTCTTCTTTTGCTACTTCAGTCTGACAAATAAAGGTATTCATTGATGCGTTCATTTATTTATTCATGCAATCATTAATAAAATTAAAAAGCTCTGTCAGGCTACGATTTCAAAGCATGCTGGGTACACCTGTCACCTGATACACACAGACGCTGAACTACTTTTGCTCTCAAAAGAAACTATTGTTCCTTTCATTCAGAAATCTTTCCATAGGCTTTAAGTTCAAGCTTAAGATTTAAACTAATAGTTTAGACATGAACACTACCAATGCACATGCACATTGGCAACTTGAACCCTGGACACTGCAAAATCATAAGCTACAAAATTATGCATTTACTCACCTGAAATGCTCAAGAAAGTCTGGATACCAATAAGTCAGATGCTGTGATGTGAAGTCAAAGATTCTTTCCCTTGCGTGAAAGGTCCAGTATCTTGCTGCTTGCCATAACGATAATAAACTCACAACCACAGAAAACGCGCCAAACATTCCATGAAAACGAGGGACTTGAAACCTTGCGCCAGGGCCTCTAAGGACTGGGGAACAGGACCAAGTATTCCTCGCCCCAATTTCCTCTGGGGTACTTTTGTCATTGGAGTGCACACGATTGACTAACTCTTCACCCAAAAATAAAAACTGAGAATTGACTTCAATTTTCAGT